CAGCCAATTGATAGCAAATTGATTTGTGTTGGTATTTGTTAAAAATTAAAAGTGAGATTAAGGGAAAGAAATTGCTATTTTAAGCTCCTGATTGTGTGCCTCCACAAATTTCCAACTCCGCCCGATTCTCATAATCTTAATTCTATTTGCTAGATTGCTCCATGGAACGAGACCAAGAAGTCCTAGTCTCGGTGTCCGTGTCTAATGGTACATCGGCCTTAACACCTTCAAATAATTTATGGGTAATTTGGTAAAATTTAGATCTTTTTTATGGCATGAAACAATGAACAAGATATATGCATGCTGGGATAAAATTTAATTTTAGATGGAACGTACTACCAATTTGCATTACAATAGTGGTACTTGTGCAATCCGCGTGATTGAGAAAAACAATGTTCCATGAACTTCCTATTTTTCCGTCGCAGCTAGGGTGGAAATTAGCCAAATAATTAATAAATAGTTTGTTTATTATCTGTTTTATTTAATAATAAACAAACAGTTTTTATTATTTAGTTCATAAATGAATATAATTTAATTATTTGTACATTGATTTGTTTGATTATTAAATATAAAACATTTATGTTTTTATACTTTTATAGTATTATATTATCTTTTACATTTCTTATGGTGAAATATCATAACAATGATTCAATGATTAAGTTAAAAAATTATGTCAAATATAGGGTACGAAATCGAGACCTCAACTGTCAATGAATCTTATGACTTAACAAGTTTGCTGATAATCGTGAGTGTTTAACAAATATTCCAATAATTAATGAATCAAATCTCGTTTCCTATTTGGCTAGAATTCAGATTCGGATTCGAATTCGTCAAAAGTAGCCAAATTCGAATTCGAACACTGTTATATTCGATTCAAATTTGCTTCATTTCCACCCCTTATTTGCAGCAACCTTTTTATCTTACCTGCCTACACATTTATATTTGGGTTTTTTTTGACACACATGTCCTCAACTCTATCAAAACTTATAGAGATATCCCCAAAATATGAACATTTGTCGGGGTAATCCCCCATCCTCTGATTTTGGTTTAAGAGGGCGTTTGCACTTTGCCCCCCAGATTTTTTCCTTTCTCCTTCTTAAGTTTAGAGTTACCATTATAATATGATCAGTAAAATACCGTATATTAGATTATTTAGAATTAAAAAGTAATTAGTTAACCTAAATCTCCACTAATTAATCCTCACTTCTTCTCTCTTCTGTGTGGGTTGGTTCCCCTAACTTTTTTTTGGGTAAGTACATTTCATTACCAACTTTAAATAGAGTATAATCTATACTCAGGCATACCCGAGTTCCCATTTATATTTTAAGGAGCACTAATAAACAACAGTCACTCTGCTCATACGACCAAGTCATAGAAAAGACTTGTGACAAAAAATACGAGTGCTTAGGCATAGCTGTAGTACCCCTAAAAAAATGATAGTCCCGCGTTGAGTGGTGACTAAGACTTGAGAAGATTTATAACGTAAGTCACGATGTTCAAATGCAGTATCGGCTAGTCGATTTTGACAGTGATTTTAGCTAAACAACACGCTACACTCAGTGTGTCCCACAGCTTACATCGCGCCAACGGGCTAGCGGGCCCAGGGTAAAATAATAGCTGCATGAAAAGCTCTCGTAGAGAGCTATTGTAGGAAGTGGGGGAAATAGTTATGCCCACAATGACATAACCACTCCATCATGGGTGGTTATAGCATCTAACCATGCACAAACCACATTCTATGTAAATTTCTCTCCCTCTCTCGTGAACAGTAACGGAGTAACCCGATAATTCAAAACAGTGCTTTTGAGATTATAGCCATCAAAACAAGAGAGTTAGAGAGGCATTTGAGCTGTGAATCACATTTCCGTTTCGTCACTCTAAACGGGAGTTCGACGACGACATCGTGGAGCGCGTGAATCTGGCCGGCGGAGATAATTAAAGATCCCGGAACGCTTCGAATCGGTAACATTCTAATCCCGCAATATTTCCCGATTCACTAGTTACTCTCTAAATCTAACAGCTCTCTCTTGATTTCTTTGACAACCTGAGTCGTCTCCCAAGAGCAGTACGTCTTTTGTTTCTATCCTTATATATGATGGACGCATGCCTTCGAGATAAAAAATTTCCCCTAATCGAGAGCTAATCTAAGACCAAGCCGTAGGCTGCACGTTCAACCAACGCATGTCCCCAAACAGCAGCAGATCGAAAAAGGGCAAGCAGCAAAAATTAGGTGCTCAATGCTCTCGGGAGCTTGTTGACCTAACACCCAAGAATTCTGCAAGTTTGAAACCCACATGCAGCATTCCGTCCTGATCAGTAGTGAGGAGCTTCAATCTTGTAGCTAGGCAACCACGTGAGTATAGTAGGAGCTAGGGTCCTCATGTAGGGGAGTACTGGAACTCTACCCGTGCACATAGCACGGGCTAGCGTCATTTCTTGACGGTTATTATTATATATGTGTACACCCCTAACATTAATCGCGTAGCCAAATCTCGATCACCAGCTTGAGAAGCCTTTCCCATCGCCAAGAGTCCCCTTACTCGTCGTGCCTCTGTCTTCAGATTATACAGAATGATGAGTACGACGAATCCAAATTAAGATCGAGCCTTTTTTTTTAAAAAATAGTGAACGTCCCGAATAAGTTTTGTAGTAGATGCAACGTTCCATCCCTCAGCAAATTTTTTTTTTTTTTTTTTTTTTTTTTTTTTTTTTTTTTCTTTTTTTTTTTTTTTTTTTTTTTTTTTTTGTGTGTTTATCATCCCAACAAATAAGCTCTACAAGCAAGAGGACCAATTCCCCTAACTTTTTTGACTCAAAAAGAAGGATAAGGATTACGCCCTCTTTTATAAACACCATGCCTTCAACTTGCAACATAAGTTAATGGTGCAACTTGATACACATCAAAAAGGCTATTTTTGACATATTGCTTAAAACTCCTTTTGCAAGAAAAAGGGACCAGTTCCTTGGTCCTTCAGCTGCAGTGGTTTGTGAAATTAATTTAACTTGGAAACTCTGGGTTACAAGTGTGTAGGGCTCTAAATTTTATCTCATGATTATTGGTCTTATTAACGTAATTACTATAAGGGCCTGTTCGTTTGTTTTCTAAAAACCAAGAAATGGAAATGGAAAAGGTAAAAATCTCAAAAAGTTCTATTTCCTCCATTTCCATCCCTAAAACTCACCCACAACATCTAATAAAATATTATTTTCATCCAACAACTCATCCACATCATCTAATAAAATATTATTTTCATCTAACCACTCATCCATCACATTTAATAAAATATTATTTTCATCTAACAACTCATCCATCACATCTAATAAAATATTATTTTCATCCAAACATCACTCAACTCATCTCTTCTCATCATTTCAAATCACTCACATCATCCAATAAAATATTATAACAATTCACCTCATCTCATTAACATTTCATTTCTTTGTTTTCATCCCAAAAGTTGTGAAAACACTTTTCTTAATCTTGGATCACATCACCCAATAATACAATGACAACTCATCTCATCTCATTTCATTTCTTATTTTTTAGAATGAACCGAACAAAAGAAAATAACAAACTACAGGAAATAGGTTTCTCATAATTCATTTCCTTATTTTTTTTCGCCAACCGAACAACATCAAAACTAGTTTTCTTAAAAAATCACTCACATCATCCAATAATAATGTGACAACTAACATTATTTCATCTCCATTTCTTTGATTTCCTTCTTTTTTAGCCAACCAAACACTCCAAAAATAATTCTTCATTTTAATAGTTTTCCATTTCTTTGATTTCCCTCTTTTTTTAGGCAAACGAACAGGCCCTAAAGGGAATTTATACCACTTAAGCATGCTAATACCTTCAATTTGTACCTTCACTATGATTAGTAATATTCAACAAATTCTTAGTATTATCGTAAGCCCATAACATCAATATATACATGAAGAATTTTTTAAAATAGAGCTTTTTTGAAACAGTTTAAGCAAATTTGACGTTTTCATACTAAAATTAGCAAAATCGACCTCCTTTTGGCCAGCTCATCACTGCTGGCCAAAAAGAGGTCGAATTTGCAAAATTGAAGTTATAAATTACATGGGACTACTAGTTCCGTGTAATTATGAAGCGGTAATCAGGCGTGAGAATAATACAGGACTAGCAATCCTGTATATATTACCTCCATATAAACACCAGTGACTCTCTCTCTTCATGCTCCGTGTCTCTCTCTCTCTCTCTCTCTCTCTCTCTCTCTCTCTCTCTCTCTCTCTCTCTCTCTCTCTCTCTGCCCCAACTTCTCTAATCCCTATCTCCTTGCCCCCGAATCTATGAAGCTCGCCTTGACCGCTTGCATCCACCAAGCTCCAAGGCGGCCTCTAAGTCCCCCAACTTCCCCTCCGCAGCTCACTTCCACCTCCAACTCAACCAAGCTCGCCTCTCGCCTCCATCTCTCACTTCCACCACTGACTCCACCCCTGGCTCCACCAAAGTCGACGCCTCCCTTTGTCGATCAGGCCACGTTAATCCTTGATCAAGGTGAAAATTTTCTCTCTTTTTTGTGAATTTTGATGAATGGTTTGGATTGGTTAGAATTAGGGTTTAACTATAATTTTGATTTAGGGTTTAATTTTAATTGGGATATGAAATTGTGGTGCAATTTATTTTAAAGTTAAATTTAAAATGGGAAATGAAATTTATGGTGCAATTTCTTTTTCCTATGTGTGAATTTCATGAATGATATGGATGGATTAGGTAAGGGTTTAATTTTGATTAAAATTAAGTGGATTTTGCTTTAGGGTTTAATTTTAATGCGTTTTATGAAATTTGTGGTGCAATTTGTATTTTTGTTTTTGAGAATTTTGATGAATGATATGAATTGATTAGGGTTAGGTTTAATAGGGATATGAAATTTTTGGTTTTATTTTGTGAAATATGATGAATAATATGGTTTGGCTAAAGTTAGCCAAACCACATTATTGTGATTTAATTTTGAT